ACTTCCTTGCCATGGACAGAAAAATACAGACCAAAAGTACCAAATGAGATTGTTGGGAATCAGTCACTGGTACACGATTGAAATGACTGTATGTTGCTTTTTGTTCAATGATATGAAAATGATGGATCCTTTATCAAATCGATTGCAGGTTACTCAGATTCACAACTGGCTGTCCCACTGGCATGATCAATTTGGAGGTACTGGAAGCAAAGGAAAGGGGAAGAAAGTGAATGATGCTGGTGCCAGGAAGGCTATACTCTTGAGTGGAACACCTGGTATTGGAAAAACAACATCAGCAAAGTTAGTTAGTAAGATGCTTGGTTTTCAAGCAGTTGAGGTTAGCTCATTATTACTTTAATTTCATTGGTTAATGATACAATATCTTGCACATGCTTGGAATATAGACTTTTTACTTTGTATTTAGGTTAATGCTAGTGACAGTCGTGGAAAGGCGAACTCGAATATTGCCAAAGGTATTGGTGGTAGTAATGCAAATACTGTGAAAGAACTTGTCAATAACGAAGCCATGGCGGCTAACTTGGATAGGTATGTTGGTGTTTCTTTTATTGATCTAGTCCTAGATGCTTGTATTATTTCCTGACTTGGTGGAATATTTTATCTTCAGGTCAAAGCACCTGAAGACTGTTCTAATCATGGATGAAGTAGATGGAATGTCTGCAGGCGACAGGGGAGGTGTTGCGGATCTTATAGCTAGCATTAAAATATCAAAGATTCCTATTATCTGCATTTGTAATGACCGATACAGTCAGAAATTGAAGAGTTTAGTAAACTACTGTCTTCCCCTCAATTTCCGGAAGCCCACAAAACAGCAGGTTAAATTTAGATGATTTTTTTTTGTCCTTTCTGTGTTATCTTTTGGTAGGATTGTGAACAGGACTTCATGCGATGGACCAATGGTTCTCTTTTCGATTTTTTCAAGATACTTTTGCTAGCAGTTGACAAGAAGTTACCCATTTATACTTTTAGACAATATGTATTGTGGAAATAACTGAAGTTTCACGCTTGCTTAACAGTTGACCTTTTGCTAATGGCTCCTATATTCAGTAGGGGAAAAAAATCCGAACAAGTCTCAGTTGTATTGAGGATCTAAGTAGCGGTCTATCCTTTATTTTAGCAATGGCTGTTGTCTTATGAAACCAACTTGTCTTTTGTTACAGATGGCAAAACGGCTGATGCATATTGCCAAGGTAGAAGGCCTTGAAGTTAATGAAGTAAGATTCTGTACTTAGTTGTTATATTTTCACTAGCTTCTGTAAGTCAATGCTAGCCAGTTTCATATAACTACTGCTTGGGATTATTTTCTTTGCAAAAATATCTGGTTCATTTCAGATCCTTTTTACAAATTAAACAAATGAGAATAGAAGTATTAGATTTGGTGTAAAGTACATGTGTCATGCAATACTCTTTTCCTTTAAAATCCTACTTTTGCGTTTCTTGATCTCACTGAGACTATTTTGTGGAATTCCCCTGGGAAAGCGTATGCCAGTTGTAATGGATCAAACACCCAAGATTAGAACTTGGATCCTGTGTTCTCTGTGTCCACTCTTCCTGTAGTCTAATACTTACATCTTTCTCTGCTCACTCGCATAAGCATTTTGGTGGTGGGCCTTATGTGCTATCAGTTTGTCCCCTGAACATCATCTATCTTTCCTTTCTTTCAGATTGCCCTGGAAGAACTCGCTGAGAGAGTGAATGGGGACATACGATTGGCCGTAAATCAGCTCCAATATATGAGCCTGTCCATGTCAGTCATCAAGTACGATGATATCAGGCAGCGCCTGCTAAGCAGTGCTAAGGATGAAGATATGTCCCCTTTCACAGCTGTTGACAAGTAATGCCTCAAGTAGTTTAGTTTAGTTCATCATTGATGCCCATCGTAGTGTATAATAAATGCTCTAAGTGTTAGGCATTGCCAAATTTTCTAAATTAATTGATTTCTTTCCAGGTTGTTTAGTTATAATGGTGGGAAGCTGAGAATGGATGAACGAATTGACCTAAGCATGAGTGATCCTGATTTGGTTCCTCTACTTATACAGGTCTTATATTGTTTTGGATTCTTGTGGGGTTGTTTTGTTATTATCTTCGGGAACATTAATTAATTTCCTGCTACCTCTAACATTAGTGATTGCTAAAACTTGTATTCCCTCATGAGAACGTATAGAACATTGAAATTTGTGCCTAATTTACTGTTAAATCTAAGACTGTATTTGTTTCCATCTGGGCAGGAAAACTATCTCAATTATAGGCCAGCCGGTAAAGACGAGACAAAACGAATGGAGTTACTTGCTCGTGCTGCTGAATCTATTGCAGATGGAGATATCATCAACGTGCAGATTCGAAGATACAGGCAATGGCAACTTTCTCAGTCATGCTGTGTTGCATCTTCTATTCTCCCGTAAGTTGCTTCCAGTTCTTGAGAATAATATTTATCCTTTTTACCAAAAGTGCTATTTTATTCCCTCCACGTGAAATTTGTGTCGCCGATGAATATGCCATGTCTTTCCTCTAGTGTTCTCATTATGTTTTTATTCCTTCTATACCTAAAGTTCATCTTTGATGGAGATCAGGTTCAATAAATCATATGCTGCCATGTATATATGGGTTGTTGTGTCTTTGTATGGATTTTTGTTCTTTGACGTAGTTCAGGGAGTAATGTACTTTCCAATACTTGAGAACTGACGTATATTTGTTTTGTTTGAATAGAGCTTCATTGTTGCATGGATCAAGGGAGATATTCGAGCAGGTAGTGATCTTTCAGTAAAGCTCATTACATATCATGGATGTAACCTGAAAACTGCAGCTATTATTCAATGCTTCTTTTTCTGATGATGCATGTCCATATTTCACATGATGCATTTTTCTGCATTCAAGATTCTGAGTCTTCAATACACAACTCATATATTGGCAAATAGGGTTTCAGAATAGTTAGTTCTTTTCTAAGTTGTAATATTTGAGCATTATAGCATATATTTATGGTTATGGTATGAGCCTGTTTCTCCGTTTTGTTGCCCTAGAGTTGCCTAAAATATCCTGATTCAGATCAACCATGCATAAATTACTGAATGCAGGGAGAGCGTAATTTCAATAGATTTGGTGGGTGGCTTGGCAAGAATTCTACTGCGGGGAAAAATAGACGGTTAATGGAGGATCTGCATGTTCATGTCCTTGCTTCTCGTGAATCCAGCTCTGGAAGGTTGTTTCCACCACAGTTAACCTTATGAGTTACTTCTTTCTGCTAGTGAAATTGCTACCTTGCTTTTCTTCATATTTCATCCGTCTGTGAAGAGTCAAATTTGTGTACATACTGCCTTTTCTTTTAACAATATTATGTGCTATTTTCTTATTCCAACTTTCTGACAAACGTCAACATTGACCACAGGGAGACTCTTCGTGTTGATTATCTTCCTCTTCTCCGAAATCGCTTGACTAGCCCACTTCAGACACTGCCTAAGGTTTGTCTTAGTAAATCTCTGTTTAACCTCACTGTACTCTTGTTTTAATTATATGATAAGATTTTCTATGTCATCTAGTACTTAATCATATTTATATGTGAAATTATTTCTTTAGGATGAAGCTGTTTCAGAAGTTGTTGATTTCATGAACTCCTACTCTATAAGCCAGGAGGACTTTGATACTATTATGGAGTTGGGAAAATTTAAGGTATACACTATTTCCTTTTTCATAGGATATAACTGCCACAGCTGTGACTATGAATCTTCACTAATGTATTGCAAACTTTACAAATCAGGGACATGAAAATCCGATGGAGGGTGTTCCACCTCCAGTTAAAGCAGCTTTGACCAAAAAATATAATGAGACGAATAAAACCAGAATGGTACGTGTTGCTGACATGGTGCAGCTTCCGGGAATGAAGAAGGCCCCTAAGAAGCGAATAGCTGCAATGCTGGAACCAACTGTTGATAGTTTGAGAGATGAGGATGGCGAGCCATTAGCAGAAAATGAAGAAGAAAATGCGTCAGACGCTGAAGAAGACTCAGGTACTGGACATCTTTTTGAACGAATTATTTTTATAGATTCAGGTAACTGGGCCTGTATAAGAAAAAACTGAGCCTCGTAAGGACATAACAAGATTACCTTCGGTATCTAATGGGAATTGGAACTAGACCAAATGAAATCCTGACTGGGTCTCTCTGTTTGTTTTTGATTTTGTTTTTGATATTCCAGAAGAAGCAAACGATGGAGAAAAGCTAGAGTCAAATCTAAAAAATCTGAATGCTAGAGGTTGGTCATGTTACACCTTTTTATAAGTTGTCTTTTCCTTCAATAAGCCAGTTAGTCTGATATATCTTGGCTTGAACGATGAATTCTTGGCTAAATCTTTACTCCCCATCTCTCCCTGGGAGGGGAATTTTGCTGACCATCATCTCTAAGTCTTAACGAGCTATAATTCGTGTTGCAGGGATCCAAGTTGAATTGGATTTGAAGGGAGCTGGAAGCTCTGGTTCAAGAAAGGCCGCTGGTAGAGGCAGAGGAAGAGGCAAAACAGCTGAGGCGTCTACTGAGAAGAAAGCTACAGGAAGAGGCTCTGGTGCCAAGAGAAAGAGATAAAAAGCTAACTGCCTCAGTTTTCAGGCACATTCCGAGAAGTTTACTATTTTGTGGAATGTTCTTGTCCGGCTTACAAGGATTTCGTGGTTGTTTTATCTGGATTGGTAGATGAATTACGTTTTTTTAGAATACGTTTCCTCTTCGACTAATGATGAAAACTAGTGCAAGGTTTTAGAAAATGTGGACAAATGAACGCAATGGATGAAGATTTTTGTAAAGCTTTTATTGGCTTAAATTTGCTCAAATCCACAGTTGTGTCTTGAAATTTTCTCTCAGAATGTAAATAACTAAATATAGTAAGGTCGAGAAGAGTTTTAAGAAAAATGAAAAACAGAAACTTCAAAAATGTTGGATGAAATCATAAATTTTACAGTTTCAAATGCCAAAAACTAAAACAGAAGCCATCATTGTGCAGCACCATAGTTTCTTTCTTACCTTTTAAGTAGTATAATAAACACATTAGTATAGATACATTACATTGGTGGGTTTGCTTGGCCAAAATTCTTGGAGATACATAAGTAATATTGATAGAAATCCGTAATGTGAATTTACAACAGACCAACCACATAACCAACCCACACAGTCTTTACTCTTTTCTTTCTTTTTTTGGTTTTGTTTAACATACATATAACACAGGAGAAGGCGTCCCAAGGCCCCCCCTTTTGGTCACAAATAACCTTTTTCATTTTATTGAGAATCAGAAAACTCTTTTACTTTATCAATAGACCTTCTTCCTATGCTGCTTCTCCCACACTTTTGAAACCTCTGACTCTGTATATATATATTATCAGAATTTCACAATGGACAACATCACCTTGTCTCTGCAAAACACAGACAACAGAACAAGATGTTAGCATTCATTTAGAAATACAGGCGTTAAAATGGACTGACAGATTTTGTAGCGTTTTTCGGAGAAGTCAAAAGACAACCGTGAGACAACAAAGAACAAACTGTTTCCCTACCATCTAAGGCCAAAATATTTTCACGTTTGCATATACCTTAATCATCCACAATATCAGTATGCAAAAAAACGCTGATGATGCAGAATTTGTTAATCAAGGGGCGAAAAATGCAATTAATGAGACCATTGATGAACAAACACTTGATAAGCCAACCAGAATCAGTAAGCAAGGAGTCAAAATTTACCTTTGCCAACAAGATGCTGGCACTTGCTTATTTAGCTTGAACCAGAACCAGTCGCACATGTACCTTTAGACCCTCTTTCATTTATAGAATGTTCATCACCAGCTTCTGATCTATTATGCTCATTGTTTGATTCAGGAGTGTGATTTTCTGAGACATCTGATACAGATGCAGTGCTTGGTCTATTGTTTTCTCTCGTTTCTAGACGTTCCATCATACGGGACACAGTGGCAATTCCGGCACTGACCTCTCTTTTAACCTCAGAGCCAAGATCTGCCATGGACGTGTTACGAGAAAAAAATCTATCTTTCCAGCTCCTTGTGTTCTTTGATATCGATTCTTTGTATCTACATTGTGCATCAGAAATCATTTATATATGATAAAATTAATATACAAGTAAAGTTCGCCAGATGAGCCAGGATACCTTGTTGAGACAGCGTTTAATCGAGACTTTAATGATTCCGAAAATGACTGGAGTTCCGATGGTCCAGCTCTATCTTGATCACTTGGGGAAGATTGATTTGCAGACCTGCGTATGGTAAAACACAAGAAGGCTCAGATTGGCTGCACTTGACTACACCGTAACAAAATACAATAAAAGATGAGAATTCAGGAGAAGACCTGCTGTTTGAATCAGACACTGAGGGAGAAACCTGGCGGGGATGAGAAGATGTTTGTGGCTGCATGTTTAACTGATTTGAACCCTCTCCTAAACCATTGTGAGGAGACAGAGGAAGGGTTGTGACTGTTTCACTCTCATCTCTCTGAGATGGAGAAGATGGCATGGGGGGATGAGGTGGAGGAGAAGAAGCATTCGGATGCGACGAAAACACCATGAACTGTGGGTGGCTTTGACTTGAAGACCTGCTTCTGTGGCCTTCCCTTCTTGCCCCATGTCTCACTCTTCCCATAGCAGCAGCAGCAGCCAAGTGCTGAATGATTCGCTCTTCAATCTCTGCATTATCCACCCCCACTGGAAGCTGCATTAAAAAGAGATTTGTACAAAGGTAGCACTCAATTAATTCACTAGGAAAGAGATGTAATCAACTCAAAATTATATTAAAGGAGTCACATACATGTTGTAATTCAAAATCACCAAGAGTTGGATGACGAAATATGGTGGCATTTCTAGATGGAGTGAAGCGGAAATTCCTCTCCTGTACAACTGCCTCAAGCAACTCCTGACTGGAAACATTGAAAACACATAACTGAAACCTCTATCGAGGATGCCTCATGGTAATGTTACCATCTACCAATAAAAAAGGACTAAAGTGAACTAGAGGAGGCAAAATTAACCTTGTGGGGTCTTTGAGACTAATTGATTGCCAACACATTGGACACTGTGAACTCCTTTGACACCTGTAAATTCAAAATACAAATGACACGGACCTGATAAGCTTCGCACAAAGAAGAAACTCGGATACAAAGGAAGAGATATTGATTACTGAGAGTTCTTCTTCTCGAGTTGTAACTGAAATTTCCTGACTTTCCCTTAAGTTTCTCAAAACCAAGATAAAAATCTCTAGTCTATACCCACACACCACATAAAGAACAAGAGGACTTGAAAACCCACACATTTGATAAAACAACCCTTTTGGAATATCTACGTTCAATGATAGTATCTACCATGACATAGCTCAAAAACTGTGGTAAATGCAGGAGGGGACATGTTCGAAAAGCTTACCACTCAAGAATGCATTGAAGATGATACTCATGCTTGCAACTAGTCAACTGCGAAATCAAAAAAAAAAAAAAAAAAAAACAAATTCAATGTATAACTAAAATGAAAAAGAAACAAAAAAGGTATAAAATGTTTGGGTACATAGTACAACATACAGTAGATGGATCACTTTCACAAAAGGCTTCAAGACAAATGCTACAGGCGTCATCACAAGCGTCTTGAATTCCACCTTCAACAAAAGCAGCTGCCGAAGTCAAATGCCCCTCAGACGACGCCGTCGTCGTATCTCCCGCTCCCGCTCCCTGAAAATTCATTCCTCAGGTCCAAAATTCCAAAGCGAAGAGACGACAAAGAGAATCAAGAGACAAAACTGTAACAATTGAACACGAAACCCCTAACAATTCGAAAATGGCTTCGAGTCCCCAAAAAACAAGGGCATTTTCAGAAGAATCAAAAGCAATTACAATCGGAAAATCAAAATTCTAAGCTCAAATCGTTGCCTAAGAGCAAAAAGACAAACGGGGATCGATCGAATTGCATCCGGCAGAAATGAAAATCAAACGTAAACCCTAACTAACCTCCATTTTGAAATCGGGATGATGAGCTGAACGCGAAAAGAAAGAAATGAGATAGTAGGAAGGGATGGTCAATCAAAATGCGATCGAAGACGAGAGAAAAATCTAGGGTTGTGGGAGAAAACAAAACCCTAGATTCATGATGATTCGCCGAAGATAACGGGAGAGGAAACAAAAAAGGAACGAAGAAGAAGAAGATGAAGAAGAAGACAAAGGACAAAAGAAGAAAGACTCTTTCTTTTTCTTTCTTTTTTTCGTTTATTTTTCTCTGCGCGTGGTCTCTATTGACTCTCTTTCTCTCTCTCTCACGATGTTAATTTTTTTTATTCTATTATTATAAAAAAATGTATTATTTTAATTAAGACATTTTAACGAAAAATTGATTTAGCTAGGTCCCAGATTGTGACACGTGTCTAAGTTCTATTTTCTTTTTGTACTTTGGAGAATATTTTTATTATGGGAACTACTTTTTTAATTTTTAGATGACTTTAGTGAATTTAGGGAAAATTCTTTTGATTTGTTACTAAATTCTTTTGAATTTTTTTAATAGATGTTATAGTATTTTTATGTTCTTTTTGTTTGGTTTAAACTAAAATTGGTAATTTCTTTTATTTGTATATTCTATTGTTGTAATGTTTCTTAAAACAATATTTTTGTTTGGTTTTCAAATTACAACTTCCTCAATTGCATTTTGAGTAAGAATGATAGTCATTATAAGATAAGTCTATATACAGTATATTAAAAGATAGTCACTATTATTGATAGTCATTACAAAGTTCTGAGATCATAGAAGAAAAAAACATAAGTAAAACATAATATGAAGAGCATTTTGATTTTTGAAATACTGATATCTAAAAAAAGAAATATTGTATTAACTCTAGTTTAAAACACTACAGAAGTTCAAAGGTATAAATAAATTTAGACAGAAGTGGGTTAATAAAAAAAAAGGACCAACAAAAAGAACGGGTGTTGAAGTAAAAATAAAAGAAAGATAAAACGATGTTACAGTTTTACAAACTACGAACCCACCGGAGACTGGTCTGATCTTCACGAAGGAATTAGTTTCCAATATAGCCGAGCCGATGAAGGACCATTGCTAAGACGAGCATTAATATAGCAAATATCAATCCGCCTCTTCCAAGCAACCACTTCTTTGCTTTCTTGGCTTTCTCTATCCCGGTTTGAGCCCGATCCGCCCATCGCATCTGCAACAACATTTTTTACATATGAGACTACTATACAATCAAACTCTGCAATGTTCTGTTTTGCTTTTTCATAAACCGAATGCGTACCATTTTCTCCAAGGAGTCCGGAGAAAGAGAAGCCATGGCTTGCTGAGCTTTTACAGCATCTTCTTGAGATAGCTTCATCCCGAATTGTTCGCTCATGCTAGCCATCATCTCCGGATTCATGTTCTTTATCATAGACGTGAACATCTACCAAATACAGGGAAAATACAGTATGAACATCTGCAATCACATTATGGTGACTAAATTGGTCAAATATAAGCCGGAAATGAAAGAAATAAAAACCTGTCGCATTGCTGGATCTTTCATTTGGTTTCTCATCTGCTCCTGCAAGTCTGCCGGCGGAGCAGAAGGCATACTTGGTCCGAAACCGCTTCTTGGAGCCACAAAGGAATTACCTGAAGAACTAGACTCACCTGCTAAACTACTAATCCCACTCGCTCCTACACTATCCCGTGGTTCAGATGCTTCTGCATTGCTGTATGATGTTGAAGCTGAAGCATTTGCTTTCAAAGATGATGCCATGTTAAACATCCTCTCACGCTCTTCTGGTGACATCTTACCCATCATATCAGATGCAAGCTTAAGCATGTCAGGTGTAGGTGCAAACCCGTTTCCTGCAGATGGTGCAGTCGAGGTGAAAGGGTTATCTCCTTTAAACGAAGACGCTGTTTGAACCATTTTCTGAATCTCTTCAGGTGACATTTTTCCTATCATGCTCGACGCAGTTTTGAACATGTCTGGTGACATATCTCCAGCTTTGCCTCCGCTCAGAGCAGCAAGTGTATCAGGATCAGTTTTTGAAATGAAGTTCTGGAAAGTTCTGCAGGCCATAAAAAAAAAACAAAAAATGAATAACAAAATCATATTAATCGTGCAAATATAGTAGAGAAAGGACGCTTTAGTTAATATTTGTCTTTTGAGTTTAGGAGACAAACAGATGAAAAAACACATCAAACACTGGTTTTGAGTGGTGTTGAACCTGATTGCTTCTGGGTTATCTCTGAGAGCCTGCAATCCATCAGCATCAGTCTTTATGCCCTGAGCATGACCACCAACACTGCTTTCTCGTTGTGTCCCAGTAACCTCTTTAGGCGGAGTTTTATTCTCTCCGGAAGTAACAGTATTTTCTTCAGTTATATCTTCAATCACCACACCTAATGACCAAACAGTATAACATTTTTTATTTGTTACATCAATGCAATAATGATTTGTATGGTCTGACATAATACTACACTGAATTATTTCAAAATATTATACCTCTTGATGCATTGCCCGGTCCCTCGACAGCCAATCTTTCCTTAACATCTCTGCATCAGAAAAGATAAAACTTTAATTCAAAGTTGATTTTAAAATGTTGATATTCAAAACTCTGATATAAGCAGAACTGAAAAGCATGACATTACCAGTAATCAAATAAAATCCATACCTTAGCACATCGGCAATTGTCTCATCTTCAGGGGAAACTTCATTGGCCTTGCTCAGATCAGACACAGCATCCTTATAGTTTCAGAAGGTCAAAACATATATTCAGGACTTGTTTACAAAAAGCACATATATATTGACAAGGAATCTCAAGAAGACTTCCATAAGCAACAGAAGAACTCACTTCAAGTAGGCCAAGATCTCTGTACGCTTGACCCCTTCTGTATAGAGCTTTGACGTTCCTTGCATCATATGCCAAAACCTGAATCAATGAAGAAATTAAATTTATCAGAAGAACACCAAGACAGGATTGATCTTAAAGCCAAAAACATACAGAAGGTGTAACATACCTCAGAACCTTCCTTTATGCAATATTCATGCTGATTCGTCTTCAAATAACATGACATTAGATTGAGAGAACAAGCCAACAAAAGTGCGCCACCTTTAGATGATGGAATGTCTTTCAGATTGTTCTTCGCCTGAGATATGGCCCAAGAGCATTGTAAGACAAGTACAAAAAAATCTCATATCAGGTTACAAATAAAAATCTTCTAGAGAAGTGGTGCTAACAAAGAGACTGGAACGTCAAGTAACATGACAAACAATAGATATGGAGACTTACACGCAAATATTTCTCCGCAGCTTCACTGAAATTTCCTCGGCTATGAAGCTCATTCCCCTGACAAACGTAGCAGAAAATGAGATTAACATCAAAGTCTACCCACTTTAGATTGATGCCATTATTTTCCTTATTTATCATAAGGAGAGCAAAACTCAACTGAAAACCCAGATTTTATTTGGCAAACCCCGTTTCCAACAGATTTTCAACTAGGTGATAACTTGAGGAGACAAACATCAGCGTTTGCAAAACATGCAGTATGCTAAAAAATGCGGTAGAAACTGCAAGCTTGTGAAGCTTACAGACATGCATTCTGCGTAACCCAATACAGAGACACAAGTTCCATAGTTAATGCCATTTTTTCTCCTTACTTTATCATCAAGAAAGCATACCTTATCTGGAAACTAGGCAATCCCACTCTGTTTTCTTATCAAAAGTTGATTTCAAACCAAAAAAAAACACTTGGAAAAGACAAATACACCTGAATCAGGAAGTCAATAGTAATAGTACCTGTTTCTTGAGCATCTGAGCAGCATTAATCTGATAAGTAAACTGAGCATCCGCATGAGCACGCATAGCTGCAAGATCTTCAGGGGAAGCCTTAGCCATCTTCTCACTAATCTCAGCCATATCCTCAGGGCGAGTATGCTTAAGCTGTTCAGCAGCTTGTTTCAAATCTTCAGGCCTCATGTTCTTCATACTCTCAGTTGCCATATTCATCAAATCTGGATTTGACATCATCTGTAACAAAAAAACAAAAACAATGGCATAAAATTTCATCATACAAAACCCATAATGCTAATAATCACCTAGCTAATTAAATCCAATTGAATAAACAATGATCACAATCACATCAATCATACAAATTACACTACACACTTGGGAAAAGAGTTGATCAGAAGAGTTTCGATCGAAATTAAACTTGAATGAATCTGTGGAATTGAATTGGGAAATTAAAGGGAAACAAATAAAAAACAAACCTGCTGCTGGATCCTAGCGAAATCAGCTGGGGTCATACGACTCATCTGTTCTTGAGCGAGCCGGATCATCTCAGGATCCATCATCCCGTTAAACATCGTTTTCTAGTAGCTTCGATTGCGAGAATCAGATCGGCGGAATAAATAAATAAAAAAAGCTTAAAATCGAAACTCGCCGGAGAAGGATAACTCGGAATCTCTGGATCGAGATTTTAAGACAATTCGTTAGAATTTATGAGAAATCGGAGAAGAATTGTTTCCAATAAATCAAAGCTCTCAACCTCCTCAATTGACCGACCGGAATATGCCTGGAGGTTTCGAATTGACAATTTTACCCCCTTGCTCTTTGAATGACGTCACTTAAGTTAATTTAATTAACGTTTAATTATGATCATCCAGTGGTGCTTATTGTGCATGTCTCTTGTTGTCCCTTGTACTTGTTGGAACACTAAACTAAACTAATCTCGTGTTTCTTTTTTTCTTAGTATTAAACTCTTCTTTTGTGTTTTTTATTTCCATTCTTTTCAGGAAAAAAAACTCCTCCTTTTACATTTTTACAATATTTCCAATTAACTGTGACTCAAACTGTCAAAAGAAAAAATTAACTTTTAAACCTGTTTTAGGGTATGAAACCTATTGATATATATATATATATATATATATATATATATATATATATATATATATATATATATATATATATGTCCATCTATATATATATATATTGATACTATACAATAAATTCTGAAACCGAAAAACAATTGTAATCGTCTACTTAAAAGAATCAGTGAAATATGCTCAATCTTAGTGGAATGATATACTTACATTTTAGTTTGCAAATATTTAGTAAATTATATATCTATTTTAGAAAATATAATTCCAAATTTGTATCGTATACATTATATTATGTCGTGTACAGACCATTCGGGCGAGCTAGCAAAGAATTGTATGTCAACAACTCACCACAGCATTCTCCGATCAGTGGTTGTTGTTGGACGAGAGTTTTAAATTTCTCCACCGCAGAATTAATGTTTGAAAGAATGGAAGCGGTGGTGGAAATCACATAAAATTAGAAGCTAATGGACCACTTTGACTTAAAAAGCTACAATTCTCGTATATCTTTCTCCCTATCCTAACTTTTATTGAACATAACAGATAATGTACAACGCACAGGCTATGTTCATTTTATGCAACATCGATCTATCTAGAAGTAGGTTACAACATGTATATATGCTTCTATGTGGATCCAAATAAACTTTTCAACATATTGATAAGAAACCAAAAGCATTCATACGCATTGCCTTTGTCATCCCTAATTTTGAGTATACATCTTAGACATCCTTAACCTTAAGAACTATCTATTGATCACTAATGATGTTAATTACTTTATCCTCGAGAGCTTATAATAATCGTAGTGGCTAAACAAAACAAGCTATAATATTTTTCATTGTACGTCCACCTTTTTTTAGATATATAGTTTTAGCTTACAAAAAAAGGTTGTTGGAAAACAAAAGAGTTAAAAAGAATGGGATGGTGGAAGGAAACAGAAAGAAGAAGAAGAAAGCTTATAGATTGTACGTTGTCGGGACGTACGTGGAAAGATCTCACGTGGCAGTTTCACTCTGATTGGGTCCTAAACCGCCGGCCCACGTGGCATGACACTTGTCACTGAGACCTCTCTCTCTCTTCCTCTCTTGCAGCCGCAAGTTGTAAGATTGCCGTTCTTATTAGGATGCGTCACATCAATTTGCTCAGCCCCCCACCTTCCTCCATTAACCCATCAAACCCGGTCTCTAGTTTTTGTGTATATATCGATGGAATTGATTGGTATAACATATCACCATGTATAGGCCGCTAAGATTTTACTACTCGAATGATTAGTAACTGATATAGAAGGAACATATTAGAGTATATAAGAGTTTGGTTTTCATTAAACCAACTTAGATTGTAATCAGGTCATAAACCGCAGTTAAACCGGATCAACTCACACATATAAGTGAGATGTAATGTGTCCAGATTCATTAACAAGAAATCAAATTCTTATATACTCTAATAGAACACTCTGATTAGTAACATTAAACATTTCCAATACAAAATCTTATATATGCAAGTTCGATATGTTAACGTCAAGACACAAAAGTACATTGTATAAGATTAAACTGAGTTTAGGGTTTAGTATTATAGTAAACGAGATTTGTGAACATGTCTGTCTATATAGATTTGGCGGAAACGAGTTACTTGGAAACAAGTTGTAAATGTCGTTTTGTAATAGACTTTAAAGTTTTCTAAACTGAGTGACGTTTATCCAAATGTCATATTCGAATTATTGAATTTTAAATAAGTTTTAACTAACGAAAAAGGAAGCGATCGAATATGACCTCATACTCTCGACGTTTTACACGGAAGAGGTAAAAGCTTAGACCAGCCTCAACGGCAGGTTTTAATGAGGCTCTTTAGCCAAAAACAGATTAAAAATAAATGGTTATTAACAAAAATAAGAGAGAACCGGTTCTTTTTGAAGAGGTGGTTATCATCTCAAGAGACGGTGACGTGGCAAAAGCTGACTGGGTGAGTTTTTTTTTTTTTTTTTTTTTTCATTCAGTGATGGATTAAACATACAAGGAAAAAACCCAAAAAAATAATCTCCAAAATATGATGAACAACCCTTTTAATTAAACTTTTAATCAAGCTTTCAACGACATATCGAAAATTAAGGTGATTATCAAAAAACAACCAAAACCAAGAAAAACGCGCGTATATTGAAAGAGATCGTGAACAAAGACGCATCCAATTATGGGAAGATTATTTCAAAGAAGATGCAACGTATCCAGCTAATATTTTCCGACGGTCTCTTTGCACTACAAAAGACAACAGCCGCCATTCGTATGTATTTATTTTCTTGTATGATTTTCATATTTATATTTGCTTCTATGTAATGTTTGTTTTAAACTCATGTCTATTTAAAAATTTATGAAATGCAACAATTTTAAAATTATTTATGTAAAAAAAAACAAAATTTTCTTTTTTCAAGAACCCCATGGCTCTTACCATTGGAGAACTACAAATTTAAAATCCACAATCTCATCTATTCACTTCAAATTTAACAAAATTAATACTATAAATATTATAAAGAGCCATATATGGAGTTCTCTTGTTGTGGCTGCTCTTAGTTTCTAAGATTTTTTTGCTTTTGGTATATATATCAAAAGTACTACTAGCCACTACAAATGCTGAAGCTGATGCATGCTGATGTGTTTAGCAAACTTGGTTACATGGGTTGTTACGTTAGAGATTTAAAAATGCATTATTTTTCTTACTTATTTTTACCGGTAGTGAAATATACAAAATATACAATGATTAAGATTCAGTATTGTGACGACCAAAAATATTATATTCGGTAGCTTCGACATCAGTGTGAACGGAATCCAACAGAAAAGACTCTGATTGGTGGAATTGGTGGTATTTCTTTAAAAAAAATATATATATAGAAAAAAAAAAGCATTTGCATCTTTATCCACTTTCTTCACGGTTCACATCTCTCTGATCTCTCTCTCGTCTTTATCTGGATATAGTTATCTTGTTTCTTTTTTCCTCGTTTAAAAACAAGTTTAGCATGTTATGATCAGATTCAGTTTTACTTTTCTCAAATTTAATTATGATTTCGCTAATGTTATGATGTGCATGTACTTTTCTATTATATATTTCTACTCTAGAACAAAATACTCTTTTGAGTGTTGAACAAAAGAATATCATCCTTTACTTTTCAGATATCGTATCTCATTCATGGTGTCATATATGTCAAATAATGTATATGTATACTTTATTTCTGGAACCCATTCTGAAATATAATTATTAGTCCTCCACACTTAGAAAAAAACTGAAAACCCATATATATATATATATACTAATTGTTGCCCCGCGCTGCACGCAGAAAATTTATAAAAATTTTATTTTATTTTTAATTATATTATAATTTTTCGTTGTTTTTTTTTGTTTTGTATTGTTTGTTTTGTTGGCTTTTTACTATTGTTATTTTTTGTTATTCTATTTTTCATATCGATTATTTTTTCAATTTTGTAATAATTTAGTATTTAAAATGTTTATCATCATTTGATATTCGTCAGAGGTCGATGGAAAGTTTATGCGGTATTCTCTCTTTTTACTAAGTATGTGATTAGAGAGATAAAGTATCTGGTGTCTAGGTTTGATATATTCTAAGATCTGACTTGTTTCCCGTTTTTTTCCTAAATTTGAACCCGTGTATTCCGGCCAATGATTTTGAAATCGATATCGTTGTTGCAGATGTGTCGCTCTTGTAAACGATGGTTATAGAAATGTTTTCCCCGTTCCGTTTAATCATCCAGTTTCAAACTCATGTATCCCATGTTTTCTGATTTTTTAACCGGTTTGATTGTTATGTGTTGGACCTCAGGTCCATGCTTTTTTAGATTTTGTATTTTGATTATTGTGCAAGTGTTGGACCTCAAACCCATATAAACCCTAAACCCTAAACCCTAAACCCTAAACCCTAAACCCTATATATATATATATATATATATATATATATATATATTTATGATTGATGTAATCCAAAATATATAAAAAAGTATACCATATAAGTATACATTGTTCATAACTTGAGAAAACAACAATGGAGGCCAATCACACCCAAAAAAACAGGCATCGACTTTGACTTTGAAACATGATTAGCAGAGAGTATGAATAGAAAATTATTCATATTCGCTCAAAGCCTCAAACTCTGACTCCTTCGCCAGTATAACACGATACTATCGCGCGATTGTTGTTATATGTAAACTGAATACTTTTAAAAACTTAATTTGCAAATTGGCATCTTGGAGAAGTACTAACCATAATTATATTTGCGCCCAAATTTGTGAACGTATAACACTTTTTTGTATACTACTAGCTATATATATACGTTCACAATAGATAAATATAGTTTTGCATATACATGCATGTATATACGGTTTACATATATAAAATTTAAACAGCCATGTATTGTAAATTTAAGTGCCTTTTACCTCTCTTTTTTCGTTAACGTGTGTATACCGGCCTCTCTAATAATCGAACGAAAGTAAACCAGTCTTTACACATACATGCATGACATTATTGGTATATTTATGAAAGCATAAATGTGAAAAGAAGAAAAAACAAAATACAATCTATTACAAGGAGAGGACTTTTGTTTTTTTTTTTTTTTGTCAACCGAGAGGACGACTTGTTGTATTGATGAAAAGTGAATAAATACGGAGGAATTAAGTCGGGTGGTCCAAAATTGACAACTATATGATAAACAGTGAAGCGCATGTGCGTGCATGCATGCAATTACACAAGTGATTTCCAAATGGAAAAGAGAAGCCCATGTAAATCATACAATTTAAGGAAAAAAAAAAACTAAATAGACAATAAGCTTCATTTTTGTGTCCAATGCAAACGTGAAACTCAAAATACATCAGATGCAGCAAAACATGTTTTGTAAACCCTCCGTCGAATTTCAAGTCACCACTTACACATTCATATAACTGTATAATATACGATCTACAGTTATACAGCCAGATCAAATCATCTAATAATACAAGACACAGAATGTTTTTAATCGGAATTTATAATATCCTGCTTAAAGCAGTAATTATTGACTCGCCCTATACAAGTTTTACCAACGACCAAACTCTTCATTTTTTTTTCCTCTTTAGTATACCGTTGACTCTTTCTTTGTCCCATACATACCTGATCTGTGTTGCTGATTAGTGCGTAGTCTTTTTCTCATTTTTTCCTGTCAACATAAATAGCTAGATATCGATGTATTTCTCAAAATTACATTCATAATTTAGCTAATATTCATTAGTTTGAAACAACCTTTTTCATATAATAGTATATACCTTATCGTATATCAAAACGTTTAAAGATTAACTGTATATTTTTTATCGAAACATTGTTAACTCAGAAAAGTTGTGAATTTGAGACATGTTGAGGCATCAACTGCATGCGACACAATTAAATGCTTGGTAATTAATCTCTTTTAAAAATGTTGTAATTAAAATGACATGATTAATGAATGTTGCTACACAGATTGGTGGGCTCTCTCAGTAGCAGAACCAACGTCGGTCGGTCGCAGTCGGAGAGATGGGGGCACATATCTCGGATGATATAAATAGTAAGTGTTTGAAAATAATGATGGTGTAATCAAAAACCATGCATGGTTTAAAAAGATGGAAGAGTAGTACAAGGGAGTAAAAATGTGCAATAAATTTACTAAGGAAATTGGAGTATGATTGGAAATATATGAATAGTAATATCTGTTGTGATACAGAGAAATTACTTTCACTGTCACTGCTGGTCTGAAAGAAAAAAAAAAACTCTGCCAAATAAAGGAGGAAACAAATTGGGTAACAGTAGCCATACCTCTGTCACTCACTCCCTCTTCAGGGTAATACATTACACACGTATGTATGTGTATATATATATATATATATATTGAAATATCGTAAGAGAAACATGTTAGTAATTCCACACTTGCAAATTTTTTACAAGCCGCAATTCTTTTAAATTTGACTTCACTGGTGGCCCATATGTACGTTATCAGAAACCAATACCAAAATTACTAACTAGAAAAGAGTTCTTTTAATTAAGAAAATTTGGTTTACGTTAATGTACTGGATGGCTCGTGTAATGCTTGGTTTGGTTCTTCATTAGTAATAAGTAACGGAAGTCGAATATATTTCTTTAGAACTTAGAAATAGAGTAGAGTTACTTGTATATCTGTAAAACAGTAAATGAAAACTAAAAAATCAGAGTAAAAGTTTAATTACTCTTCTACTTTTGAGCTAGCTGAAATGAAAATTTTCAATGATGTGTGAAAGTAAAATTAGAAACAAAAAAATGGCGGTATTTGAATTATATATTGACAACAAAAGGAGGGAGAGAGAGTTGAAATTGAAAGAAACCTCGAATTTGGACTATTTGTGCTTTAATATCCCCACAGAATTGCTTGCAGACACAATTTCACCATACCTCTCCCTCCCTCAGACTCTAGTGTGTTGTCATAATCTCAATCTCTTTAGTCTTTAGTACAACAACAACAACTTTTTTGGTGAAATAATACATATAAAACTAATACTATACTAGAGTTCTATCTGCATGCATTGATAGAAAAAAATATATATATAACTTTAGATAACTGGCTGTCTTTGAGTCAAATAAAGCTCAAAATTAAAAATTTGGGTACATGTAAGTCTCTCGCTCTACATGAACGTAATAGATTAATGAATTAGGTAACAAATATAGTACATCATTCTTATGAGATCCTGAACTTGGGAATGGATCAAGACAAACTAAAGTTTCATCTTTGTAAAACGTTTGACTAGTTTGAACAAATCTCGTATGTGCGTAGTAGACCATTGTTTTGTTTTTGGAATAAACGGATAAAATGGGGTGGTAATCGTAAATGATAATAATACGTACTCTCTACTAAATTCGTTTGTGTATATCAATGAATTTTACACTAGTTAAATTTCAAAATAGTAAAAAGTAAAAACTATACAAATCAAAAGTTCGAATCTAATAAATAGTTAAAGAGCGGTAGAGTATAATTTTGCATCATATATATTAAAAAGACAAAAAAAAAAAAAAAATTGGTAAAAAGAAAATGGAAAAACATATAAAAAGAGTATTTGTTGATCTTTCATGTAGGTGGGGTCCCACTGTACTTGCAGACAAAGGCTTTTTAACAGAAGACTAGTGTCTTATGGATTCTCTTATGAATTTCCCAAAATGCCCTCTCCACTCCCAGAATTTTTTTTTTCCCTAATATCAAAGTATCATTTTTAAGAATCAATCAAATACAAAATCTTCTGTTGCAATAAGAACCCCTTTTGTTTTATTGGAGTCATATACATAAGTTGTTAAGATTACTAGTATAAAAGACAAGTATTTTTTTCCCTTTGAAATTTAGAGTGATTTAAATCAGGAACCATTTTAGCTAGATGACCATTTTATGATCAAAACACAATCAAAACACACACAGTTTATCTCCATAAATACATATAAAAAGTAGAGTATCATTTTAGCATGTTTTCGTAGTGGAAGAGAAAAGTCACTTAAAAAAAATATTGCGTACACGAAAGAAAAATGTAAATATTTTTTTTTTAAAGAAAACAAATTCTTTTGCTGAGTTAGAGGACACATCGGTCAATTACTGCCAAGTGCCAACCATCCAAACAGACCCATTTACGGCAAAGTTTAATGAAAGAAATCAAAAATATGTACATAAATATGTCTCTCATAATAATCAAGAAACCAAAGAAAAAGAAAAAAAAAAAAGAGAGTAGAAACTAATTTCTCATTTCTTATATAGTTTTTATTATTTCGAATTTTTTTCCAAAAATAAAAATGATGTAAAATTGGGCAAGAGCAGAGTATTTATATCACCCACGAGCCTTTGCTTCTTCTTCCTCCCTTCATCACCTCTCTTTCTCTTTCTGTTCTCTTTCCGGAGACATTTGTCTAAATCTCATCATCATCATCATCATCATCATTCTTACAATTACTCATACAAAAGCCTTGAGAGAAAGATAGAAAGAAAAAAAAATATGATACAAGAAGAGAAACACATATTACTTTATTATAAATCATAGTAGTTTTCATTCTTTAATGGTAAGATCAAACAAGCAAGAAGCACCACGCGTCTCTTCTTCTTACATCCGATCTCTCGTGAAGCAACAACTACTTGCTTCTTCCACCACTACTACTATGACCACAACAACCGATGCAAGCGGTGCCGGCGGCGGCGGTAAAACGCAGACGCAAACGCAAACGCAAACGCACAAGAAACAAGTGAGGAGGCGACTACACACAAGCCGTCCTTACCAAGAACGTCTCCTCAACATGGCCGAAGCTCGTAGAGAGATCGTCACCGCTTTAAAACAACACCGCGCTTCCATGAGACAAGCCTCGAGGATCCCACCGCCTCAACCACCTCCACCACCGCAGCCGCTAAATCTCTTTTCGCCGCCGCATCCTCCTCCTCCACCTCCGGATCCGTTCTCTTGGACCAACCCGTCTCTCAATCTCAACTTCCTCCTCCCTAACCAACCCTTAGGGTTAAACCTAAACTTCCAAGATTTCAACGACTTCATCCAGACCTCATCGACGACATCTTCATCATCTTCATCCTCAACTTCATCTTCCTCATCTTCATCGTTTTTTCCGACTAATCCACACATCTACTCTTCACCTTCACCTCCTCCAACCTTCACCACCGCCACCTCCGATCCAGCTCCTCAACAACCACCACCACCCTCATCCTCCGCGGGAGAGAACAACGTTGAGACGTCAGCTTGGTGGTCAGAGCTAATGATGAAGACGGTGGAGCCGGAGATAAAACCGGAGACGGAAGAAGTCGTAGCGGTGGAAGATGACGTGTTCCCGAAGCTAAGTGACGTCATGGAATTCCCTTCGTGGTTAAACCAAACCGAAGAAGAATTGTTTCATCCTTACAACCTCACTGATCATTACTCAGCCCCTCACAATAATCCTCCATTATCCTGGTAATTTCTATATATTCTTTTATATGCTAAATCTTTTTACTTTATGCTAAAATATTATTATTATTGAATCGGTGTTCATCCTCCGGAATCACCGGCGGTGAAAAATTGCGGCGGTTCTTTGCATATAAATGCATAAACTTCAGTGATTGAGTTTTGAGGCAGAAAAACACAGGAAAAAAAAAAGAAGACAGAATCCAAATTTTGTTTGTTTTTGATAATTAAATCGAAATTTGTTGATATAAAATATGGTAAACTTGTGGAATGAGAAGGATCCACATCGGTTTATTGCATGATCTGAAGCTGTCCATTTTCTCTCTTTTTTTTTCTTCTTTTGGTTATGGTCCAATGATAATATCGCCGACATCTATAAAACACTATCCTTACCCCATTTTTCTGAACTGTCCCTAAACCGTCTTGACGTCATCCCATTTATAAATATATAAATTACTATATGTTATCATTGCTTGTATTATTCAAGTTTGGTTGCTTTGGTAACTCTTCTTTTATTATACAAGTTTGGTTTTCTAATATAACATATTTTCTATGTGTGACATTGTTGTTTACAGTATGGAGATTGGAGAGATTGAAGGGATGGATGGAGAAGACTGGCTAGCTTGAACCACAAAGATTGATTTCTGTTTTTCTTTTTTTCTTAAGACATGATGAATCAACTCTTTGGTTCTTTTTCTTATTTTTATCAGCTTATTTTATTTGTTTTCTTATCAAATTTTTCTTTCTTTTTTTTAATCTTTAAAATAACAAGAAGCCTACGGAGAGAAAATGTTCGATTTGGCAAAGTCACATGATTGAAATAAACTTTTCCTTTTTTTCTTCCATTCTATTATTATTACTTTTTTTAAGGAAATTTTTTGTTTAAAACGTACTGTATTACTAAATTTTTTATAGTTTAGTGTATTTCAGTTCTCATAAAAGAGTTTTTACAATCTTGCTACAGCTTTAATAGGTTCTGCATGCCTTCCCCCATCTATACAGGCCTGTTACACAGTTGAAATTACAACTTGGCTAGGTATCTTTTTTCTTTTTTTCTTTCTTTGGGTCTATCTATATCAATATTATTGTAAAATTGATGATACAAATGTGAATAGACCAGTTTCACTCCACAAAGTAATGTCAAGGGTTTACATATATAAGAGCAGAGGAATGTTTCCATCAGATTCTTGGCCAACGAATGATGTAAAGACATTTCCCTAAACTTTGCTATTCTCTTCATATGCATCATTCACTTCATCAATGTCCATTTCATCATCATCTGTTCCCATATCATCATCATCATCATCAGCTTTCTCAAATTCGACACTCAAATTTTCATCTCCTGAACCAATCTCCATCAAATCTCTTTCTTGCATGTCGAAAGTATCACTATAAGTTGGAATATCTCTCTTCCTTCCTCTGTAACCTGTAAACTTTAGCAACTTCTCTTTCCAAAGTATCAAAGGACACTTGTCAATCAGCTCTGGTCCTTCGTAACCTTCTGTCAAGAACACACTGAATCTCTTCCCTCTCTCGGAGACATAGAAGATACCACAATGCTTCAAAAAAATCCTCATCAGCTTCTGTGGCATCACAAACTCTCTCCTGAAATGGGTCAGATGATCCGTCACCAGTCTCTTCTCAAGTGTAAAGCTAAGCAGTTCGTGCATAACCGCGATTGCCCGTTTGTCGAATTCCTTCGAACCAGCTTCGAGTCCACGTGCATCGGCATAAGGAGACAGGTAAGATCGTTTCTGAAAATGTTCGATCTTCCCTCTGTACCTATACATTTTCTTGTACGACGGAGGAAATTTCATGGGGAAAGCCAGTGAAAGCATGCCTGGCTTATGATCGTTTTCCTCTGTTAAACCTAGAGTCTTTTTCTCCAACTCTGTGATAGCCCAAGCTGGGTTCCATGAAACAAGCTCAAGATACTCCTCATCTCCAAGCTTCACAACTTTAAAATGCTGAGGAAACTTGTTGACCCAGTTTATCCTAAAATCAAGAGGCAACCCAAAATCCCTCCGGAAATGAACAATCTTATCCAATGGAAGCTTCTTATCAACAGACATCATCAAACACCTGGTCACATGTTCTGCAGCCTTGTCACCATTCTCCTCAAGTAACCTGTCATGCTCGTCCAACAAGTCTTCCCCTTCGTCTGTCAATCCGCACCACAAGACTCCCCTCTGATCTTTGTACAATTCAAACAACTTAGGAGACTTTCTGATGAAATCGCTGATCTTATGCGGTTTCGGCAAATTAATCTGCCTCCTGTACTGCTCCAACGACCTGACGGTGATTATCATATCTCGTTCAGCCTTCAACACCTCCATCAAGAAAATCACTTTGGAAGCAATTTTCCATTTCTCTGTCGCTATCTCGAGCTCTTGGACTCTCTTTTCCCTGCTTCTATCTTGAACACGCTTGCTGCTGGTCATGAACCTGACCCATACCCGTCCGAAAGAGGACTCTCCGGATAAAACGTTTCTTTCAGGCATTATCGCAAACATGTTACGGACATTCCCGTAGAATCGTAGCTTACATCGTAAAGCTTCCATCAAAACCTCACCTTTAAGCACCTAAACAACAACCATTAAAGCCTCAGTTTTTTTCCATTTCTCGGTCGGCTTAAACACGATAAATTGGATCAATGATTAAGATTGTTCACATCAAACCGTGGAACAAGTTTCACAAGCCATGTGTGACACGAAAAAATTGCAAATTTATCAATAGAGATAGAGTACCTTAAACTATATGGCGGAGAAGATAATAGAGTTTGAAGGTAAGGCGGCGAGGTGAAAAATGGTGGGAAAAAAGCCATGCGACGGAGGTCCGCCGGCGACGAGAACAAAAGATGCTCAGTGTATGTGTCTCCTTCTTCTTGTAACCGAGCCCAAAAAAGCCCACTAATTTATTATATGGGCTTTTATCCATTTGAGTCTTAAAAGCCCAATGTTGTCATCGTTGTACATAGTCAACAATATAACGGTTGATTGCGTTTGTTTTGTAGTTGTTTGTTAATGACAACGCTATACATTTCATATTTTCAATGTAGTCTTAAGTGTTGATGTTTTCAACAGTTTAGTATAATTATAAATCCTGAATCGAGTTTCTCTAGTCTGTAACTGATATTAAAAATTGTTCAATCAAAAATTATAAAATTAATAAAATCCAAGCGTTGTTCCTGTAGTCGTTTTGTTACCGACAACTAGGAAACAAAAACAGTAATAAAATGTATTCTTTAATCGCTATTCAACATCTGTGTTAAAGCCGCTGAACACAAACCTAGTTAAAAGCAATTAACATTATTATAATAGATGATTAAGAATGTAATGTTGATTTAGTGTGTAAAGTGAAAAGGACCCAAGCTAGTTAGCATAATAGATAAATAAAAGAGGAAGAACAAGAAGGGAAGGATCCGAATTCCTTCACAAGTGTAGCTTTCATGAAACGTGACACAATACTATGATAAGATGTTGACCAAAACACACATGTCTAACTATCTATTTATCTAATTAAAAAAAAAATATATATATATATATATATATATATATATATATATATTTTTTTTGTCATAAAATAAAAAATACTTTAACAGTCTTGATTTTTTATAAGGCAGAAAAGGACTCCAAATGTACCAAAACAATCCACTTTAAAATTCATATGCCTTTCACTTTTGTAAACAGATATTTTAAAAGAGGGTTACCAATTGTACTGACACACCTAATTAGTTGTAATTGCAGTTGATATCATTGTTCTGAACTATTCATCTTAGTCAAATCCTATTTACGTATAAATGATGTCAAATACTATCTTAAATCTTCATTCTGAAATCGATTGATGATAATAATTTAAGTAAAATATACATACATACATGCATGCATGTCCGTCTTATTCAAATCATACATGGGTCACCAATCTGCAAGATTTATTCTGATTTAATTATTTAAATTTATATATGGTCGACTAAAAAAAAGGTATTTATATAGTACATATAAATGAATTCATGTCCATTCGTTATATATACACGTTATAAGTGCTATTAAGGTGCTTGTACATTTTTGGATACAAACAACCAAACTCAAAATCAAAAACAAAAGCGGTGGCTGCTTCCCTCGAGTTCACATGTTTCGGTTGGCGCCGATATCTGATCGATATATGCCTCTCAATGAGACGTACTGAAGCAAAAACGTTCTAAATTAAACTAGAGACGACAAAAAATGTAAATAAAAGAAACATACATTTACATTTGTAAAATACCACATTACTTGGCATCTATAACTTAACTCGATCGTGT